ATATGGAGTGATCCAAAAATCTATTTTAAAGACAGAAGACTTATAAGACATTTCTTTTATTATAAATGCTGAAGAACAAACTCTATCAATTCCTTTTAGAATTACCCTTCCGAATTATCCAAAACTATTATTTAAATATACCAATTATATTAAATTTTTAATGGTTATTTGTATCATGAAATCAAAAGTTGGCTTCATTGTGAAACCTACAAATTGGGTGGCAATCTTAAGATAATGTTAAATGTTCTTTGATTACAATGTTCCTATGAATATATAAAATCTTAAATATTTAACTCTTAATGAAATTTTTTATAATCAAATTATATTCGAAAACCTTTATTATTACTTCTATGGATTACTGTATTAAAGGTGGTTTGTAATTTAAAACAATAGAAGTAATAGTTAAGATACTTTGCAAGAAGGGTGCTGCTCTTACATCTTTGAATCTTTAAAATAAGGATATTACTTTTAAAATGAGAAATGTATTGGTAGAGGCACTTTGCAAGAATACTATTTTAACTTCCTTGAATCTTAGTTCTAATCAGGGTTTACCGTAATTTTTTTAGTTATTCTTAAGAGGTTATGTAATATAAAATCATGTGATATGATAATTAAAAAAATTTTTTGGCCAATTAAATTACATAGACAAACTCAGCCTTAAGTATATAAAGGTAAATTTGCTACACCTTTGGTAAATTATCTGGTAAATTACTATAATTTACTATCAAAATTTACTATAGTTCTAATAGGCTTGATTTAGAAAACGGAAAAGCATTAGCCAATCATCTTAATCACATATTGTGGTTACTGAAAAGCAAGTTTTGTAGAAAAAGAATGACAAATATGTTGAATGATGGTGATAGTATGAGTGACAAAATTCATATAATATAGGGCATAAATAATAATAATCCTGAGATCTTGGCAGTGATCAGGGATTAGTATAGTATATATAGTTCTTTTTTTTTTTTTTTAAAGGAAACCTTCTTGGTTGAAAATTTTATTAAGTTGAGTTCAGACACTATGCATTGTAACGAAAGTACATTAAGTCACATATGCACTTTTGGTGCCTAATTTAAATGTCTGCTCAAAGTGATTGTGCTATACTAAGGGTTCTACACTATTTGCTATACCTGTAACCCAACTATAGGGGTACCTATTTAAACCTTCTGGTCTTAACATATTTGGCCTAATGCCTATTTTTATGCGGATGTAACTCACTATTCAAATGTAGGTTTTGCAACACTATTACATAATCAGCCAACTTAGGACAATTTACTATTCTCAAAGATAAGCCCAACAAAGTAGTACATGTCCCACATATGCATTTACCTGCATGTTCTGTAATATCTTCCTAGTTAGTATCTGTTGTGCTGTTGTTACCGAGTTTGTATCTCAAGCTGCCCTTTAAAGCACTGCCATAACTTGATTCATATTTTAAACCACAACCTTCCTAATTAGTTTTCCATTATATACTTATTGCTCTTAATTGGTTTATAACAATTCTAGTACTCACACTTGGAACCATCTCCTTACCTGGATCTCTATTGGTCTCTCCCTTACTTCTAGCTAGTAATTCAGAAGAGTCAGTTTGCTCAGGCTTTAGGTACCTCATAGTTGCCCTCCTCTTGGTCTATACTTTTAAAGCATATTCTCTTTTTCTTTTGTGCAACAACTCAGCAGTTCAGCTGATGTGTCCTCTGCCATAGGACCTAGTTGTTCAGTTCTCCGATCTCAGGCCTCAATTTGAATTTAACCCTCCTGTGATACCATTAAAGATCACTGTTATATCCAAATTCAGGACTTCTCAAATAGGTTTTTGGTTATGCTAATTCCTCAGATTTATTGTACCAAAGCTTCCATTACTAAATAGTGTAACTGAAGTTACAAATTTAGTTCTAGATCCAACTGATAAACATAGCTATCAACTGAACACAGACCTATTTTTCAAATATTGTCACCAGTGGGATTTGAACCCTAGACCTGCCACTTGGAGAGGGTGATGACTAGACCACTACACTAAATCGCCACACCTTTATATATAGTTTTTTAAATAGATATCCTACACTATTTATTATACTATTTGATTTTCTATATTAAAGCCCTATATAACTTAACACAGGTTTCAAAAATTTTATCACAAAATATTATACAAGAAACAAGCTTTTTGTCTTAACAAATAATAAATAATAAGCTTGAAAGTTAGAAGAAAGTTGAAAATTTCATTTTCTTATAGTAGTATTTTCTATACATATTCTTTTTTACTATTTGTTAGGAGAGCAATTGTAGATATTAATTCAATTTAACTTACTAAGTCTGGGATTAATATCTGCAATTGCTCTTCCAACTAATAGTAACAATAGGTTAAATATATAAACACAAAACATATAGAAATTATTTAAACACTACTATAAGAAAATAAAATTTCTAACATTTTTCTGACTTTTAAGCTTATTATTTTTTTTTTAATTTGGCAGTCTTGCCTCTACTGTTTATTAGATTTATGCTAAGGTATTTTGGTTACAAATATCATGAGCACATTTACAACTATCTAGTATATACAGTATCAGCTCATCTAGTTACTAACTTGAGTGCCTATGTGCAATCTGCTATATGAGATTTTACCTCCTTATCAACTATCCTGCACTAGGCCGGTTTTCAAGCTCACTGAATAGTTTTCAAACCTATTTTTATCATATATATCCCACTTATTACTACTATACAATGTCCACCAATTAAATTCCACCTCTCATCACTTATCACATTACTCCTAATTTAGTTCTTGTATTACTTTCAAATTGGTGTCTTTCAAGTAGACGCTCTTTATGCTTCTAGTTTGGTGTCCCTGGGGAGCTACTTTAAGGGCCTGGCTATATCTCAGCAGTTGCTTGTACCAAACTAAAATATTATTTTACATCGATCTAGGTATTTGTGTTATATACCACCAAATTAGGCTACCACTTCTTTTATAGTACTCTCTATCAGTATAGTGTTGCAGAAGTCTAGATCCTTAGAATAGGAGTTATGTACCTCATTTAATTACTGTTACAAGCTAGTAACCTGGTACTCGTGCTTCTGCTATATTTTGTTATTGACTTCTATAGGTTGTAAAACACATTACTCTTTGGCTGTCTTTATTTTCATATCACCAGATTACTTGCTTCTATGATTTTTGGGATTTCTTTTAGTTGGTTTTTCTTGTTTCTTTGTTCTAGATGTGTTCTATATTTGGTAAAGCTATCCTCTTACCACAGCCTCTTACTATGTTCACGGTTCTCTCACTACTTCTAGAAATACTATATATAGCTGTCCTCCCAATTAAGATCCCAATACCGCCTTAGGGTTGTTGGTGCTACCTTGCTAATTGTAGATTTACACGCATAGCGTTTTGCAATAAGTCTTTCATAACTCATATCACATGCAGTGCCTAGTCTTCTTTATGGCTTAGGGCTCATTTCAAAATTCTTTATAGGCCAAATATATATATTACATAGTCTTACCACCACAGGGTTCTGCAATCGAAAGCTCCCGAAGATTACATAGATAATTAATTAAATTAATTACCACTAGCTATAATCAAACCATCAACCTTATCTGTAGAGAGTTAGGCACCTAAACTACTAGGCTATGAGACTTTAACCAAACTTTCAAGCTTATTAGTTTTTATTTTTTTATTAGTTGTATTATTTATTTCTTTGTTATCATAGTCTTGCATTTCATTATTTTATTATAACATAATAGACCCTCCCAATAATTGAAGTTTAATCTGTTACATGACAACCCCAACTTAGCTTAAGTATTTTGTAATATTATATCATGTGTATAAAAGCAAAACTAGAATTTATACCTCTTATACACATGCGATAATATCATGAAATACTTAAGCTAGGTCAGAGTTATCTCTTAACAGATTAAACTTCAATTATCAGAAAAGGTTTATTATATAACAATAAAATAAAAAAATGTAAGACTATAATAACAAAGAAATAAATAATACAACTAATAAAAAGAATAAACTAAACTAATAACTAATATATTAATTCAAATACAACACAAAGGAGAATCTGATTTTTAATATAAACTATAACTAAGTCATTATAGATACTCAAATATATTTCTGAAATGATCAGTTTAGGACAAATAGTCTAGAGATAGCATTAGCTCAGCTAGCTCAGCTTAGCTCTCATATGGGCTAATTGGGGCTAATTTGTATAATATTTGCAAATAATGTGATTAAGATTTCAAAAATTGAATAACAAAACTCACCAATCAGATGGCTTGTATAATATTTTCGAATAGTGTTATTTAAGATCTTCGATAAAGCAATTTATCTTCTAGCCAAAATTAAAAGTTGGAAGATAAGTTGGAGATGAGTTGGAGATGAGTTGAAGTTAGTTAGAATTGAGTTTTACTAATAAAATTAGATGTAGAATTTCAACTAATATAATTAATTCGAAGTATATATAATAATAAATATATTTTACCTTTCTTATTTCTTTAATACATAGTAATACATTTTATCTTTATAATCAAACAGTATAAGTAAAGAAACCAAAATGACCTAGTACTATAAAACAACCAAACAGCAAGCTAGATTTTACTACCTCCTGTTAAACATTTGAAGTTGCATTGCCAGCAGTGTAGTTAAAAATGTTTGTTAAACTACCTAGAAACTTAAATTAAAATGCCGTCTGGTAAGACTTAAAGTATTTATTTATTTATTTCATTATTTACCAACAGAAGACTTACAAAATCAGTTTTTAGCACATCATCCTCTTAAGGAAATTTAGCAACAACAAAGTATACAACCCAATTTCTTGGAAGTTGTTGATGATTACCTGAACATTTATGTAATGCAATTTAATAGAAATAAAAAAAACAAATATCTTTACAAAATATTTTGTCTTGGTCACTATCTATCAAATATTAAACAAACACAAAGATGTGGTTATTTAATTCCTAATAATTATTTAATTAGTATCAAAATTTGTAGTGTGAATCTTATGGCTAAAACTCAATATAATTCTGATAATACAGTAATGTATATATTTACTTGGGATAATTCTGATGGGAAAAAACAATCTGTATCAAGTAATAAGTCTACAAGCAATATAGTGACTTTATTTTTACAAGTTTGTATTAAATTAAATTTAATAATGATTTTTATATATACAGTACTGTATAGTATTATAC